CTATTCATATTTATTAGCCACCGCGAAATTATTAGATTTTGGTATAAAATATGCACAAAAATATGAATTTTATATATTATACATTAGAATAATCTACCGTCCTTCACAAATCAAAAATATGCCTATGTTTCACAAGAAGATTTTATTCGCATTTTATAACACAATCATTTCCAATTTTAACAATTTTTACTAATTTTCGCGAGGTTACCCATTTTTCAGTAGCAAAAAATACTTGACTTCCGACCAAAAAATTTCTACTGTCTACAAAATAAGAAAAATGTCTTTCATGAAACTATTGTCCCTGACTTGCACCAAAATTCAGTGACAGTCAAATTGACAGGTAGGTACAAATAAGTCAGTTGGAGTGTACAGTTGAAGTGTACAGGTCGGACGAAGGAAAATCGCATAGCGTTCGCGCAGGTACTTGCCCATTTATGACCTATTTGGGTAAATCACTCGGAACCGATTCACAAATAAGCTTTCAATAGGCGTAAATTATAGTATTAATACAGATAGGACAGTAGCATACTAGAAAATAATGTAGAAACATAACTTATCAAAAAGAAAAAATAAACCTATTGCTTTTGTTTTATAGTTAGTTTTCACATTTACTGTCATCATGGGAATCTCTATCACTTTCACCAACGTTAACAATTAGTTCTTCTGTTTGTCTGTCTATTACTTGCTCACTGATCCCTATTTTTAAATATTTAATCTACGCCCCTGATAGGAATACTGAAGAATGAGGGCTGCAATCTTTATACCTAAAATTGCCTACTTTTGCCACCGCGCATCCACGCCATTTTAAAATTTCCGTCAGCTTCCAGCGTCAGGCCTGTAAGCGGAAACATTAAATTGAAGAGCTAATAATATTGCCGGACCGAAGCGATGCAGCGTCATTGTTCTGACCAAGCTGAGGGTCAGTGACGTGTGATCTACACCAGTGCTTTTCTGCAGGTCGCGACCCTTGAGGGGGTCGCCGACAAAAAGAAAAATGCGAGGATCTACACTACAATAAAAACACAATTTCAGTGAAAAGGAGGGGCATGTTTATTTTTCAAATATTTGTAAAATCGTTGTGCTATTTTCGAAATATTAATAATCAAATAATTTTCTAATTGAAATATATTTCTCTTTTTAATTTTAATGTCCACCGTTGAAGAGAATATCATTTCACATTAGATATGAAGTGGTGAATGCCACTAATAATTTAGAGCTTTCCTCACCAGCTCTGGATATTGGAGTTTTTTTCATTCAAAACACTGCGAATAAAATTTCATTTTTAGCTTATAAATCTATAAGATTTTCGTTCATATTTGTGGTGAGATCAGCCAGTTCTATTCACTTATCCATGAAAGAGTTTAGAATCCATATACGACCATTGTCAGCTGCATAGTGCAAATCTGGAATGTATGTTAATAGTTTCTGTTGTAAATTGTAGAAGCTCTGCATCATGCAAGGAATATGAGCCCTTACCACAAGTAATTGGTATGTTGCATTATCTTCAACAGTCTGAACACATGGAAAAGACTCAAATTTATTGCTTTGCATGAAATGCTTTGACTTTATTTTTATCTGTTAAAATATTTTATTCTCTACCTTGGAGGTTTTTGTTTAAATTGATAAAATGGCTAAAAAGATCTGTCAGAAATGCTAATTTCAAGAATCAAACAGAAGTGTCAGAAATACATATTATTAGCATATTCAGATTTAGCATCTTGTAGGAACATTAAGAATTCAGCTATAGTCCAAGGGGTTTGTCAGACATTTTCAACCAGTAAGAGTTCGAGTATTCAAAAAGACTGAAAAACACTAGTCTGCAATAATATTATAGAGGTAAAGTTTGTAAGTTTGGTTGTTGGACGTAATCTTCGAAACTGCTCATCCAATGCGTTCCATTTCTTCCCCCTAGTGTTTTCAAATGTTTTCAATAATAATCGGAACTGATTAAATACGAAAGAAAGTTACTTGAGTAAAACCAACACCGACGTTTCTCTTCTGATTTGAGTCATTTATTCAATTCAATTATTTTCACTACTCTTCCAATTTTAAAACTTCTTTCACCACTATTCAGAATGGACCTTCACGGTGGACTTACGCCGTATATAATTCAATTAGAATAAAAGGATTTGCGTGCAACGTACACATATGTTGACGAAAAAACGGTCGACCGAATGCGTTTTTTACATCCAAGTGGCGCATCTCAAAATTTATGGCTTTAAGTTCCGAAACAGGCCGAGCACTTTACACAGGTGGCAGCACATAGTATCGTAATAGATGCCTAGTGTAAATTCTAAACAATAGGGTGCATGGTGGCAAACGTGAGGGTTTCCCTTTTATGTTTCATAACATCACGTACACGTTTCTGTGTGAGTGAAGTTTATAATATGTACTAATTGAATATAAAATAAAACATTCCTTGACCTGTATATTTTTAAATTTTCAGTAAAGCATAACTATCACACGTATGTATATCACGATTTGGATGTAATACAAAACAAATACATTTTCACAAAGAAACACTTGTTCATTTTATTAACCCAAGTAAATGCAATCTTCCCGAACTGAATAAAAAATTTTATAGATTACAAAAATTACTTCGACAAAGGTTAGATAATTAACTTTTTTAAAAATTTATTTCGTAATCTTTGGTGCGCAACCTAATATCCACTTCGAAGTGGTTTCTTGTGGTAGCGAAGCATCGTAATACATAGCTTGTTTTCTCTGAGATTAGGTATTTTAAAATAATAATCCCACATGCTACAAGATAGAGAGTAGAAGACTATGGTCATCATAATTAAGGGTCGTCAGTCTGAAGACTAATTTAACAAGCGCACTACTCTTTTCTATTATGATTCAATATGTATTGGGATTTCACTAAGACTAGAATATCCCACATTCTTAACTATTTGCGAATAGTATGTAATCTAGTCTAGGAAATAAAAAATTTGGGTGTTTCTTTCCTACCAGCCACCGATGCTGGTGAGCGGGCAGTCCCTCCGGACTACGCCGGAAGGTAGGGCGGAAGACCCTCTTCAGCCTCCTTTCAGGAATCGTGGGAATAGGTGGGTGGTGGTTCGGGTAAGAAAGATGAAAAGGATGAAATGAAGATAGAAGAGAATGAAAGATTATATTATCTGTGGAATATTATTGCCTCAGCATTTGCCTAAGTGATCCAAGGAAACCACAGAATAACTTGAACCAAGGCAGACGTACCCAGAATCGAAAGGACGTCCCCCCGAATGCTAAGCAATGGTCTAAACTTTTAGGCCATGCTGCTCGGTATATTACTTAACACAAAAAGCTTGGTCCCTGGAACATTTACGCCCACCGATGCGTGATGGACACAGCTGATATTGTAGTGGGAACAGTCCATTTGGTTGTTATGGTTTCATGAAAACTTCAACAATAGGTACAAAGGGAGGCTGATACATTCACGGCCTAGGGTACTTAGCGATGACTCATCATCTCGTTACTGATAACACTAGTTCTGTGACTGATTTCTAATATAAATAACACGCCTTTTCTTAATTAAGTTCATTATCACTTTATCCCTGGAATGAGCAACAACACTATGTTAACGCAAATGGAAATTCTCACAATTTGGAGCACGGCGTTGTGAGTAAATTCTTTGTTAAAAAAGGAAATAAGCCTAAAGAAATTATTTAATGGGATGTCACCGATTTTTCAGGATTCTGTATCTTTATATACGTGGTGGCTCGGGTGAGAAACATGAGACGGACGAAATGAAGGCAGAAGAGAATGAAAGATTATCCGTGGAATATTACTGCCCCAGCATTTGCCTAACTGATCCAAGGAAACCACAGAAAACTTTGACCAAGGCAGACAGACCCGGAACCGAACCGGCGTCCTCCCGAATGCTAAGCAATGGACTAAACCTCCAGGCCATGCCGCTCGGTCTCTCTAATCTAGGTCTTACTCTGGTTCCTTATACCTCCACCTGTTTCTGTTTGTGGTATGTCTCTACCTAGCTCTTTATGAGTCAGAAGGTTTCCTAACATCCTATCTCTTCTGTGGGTAATAACCCCTGCAACTATTCTGAGCGTTTGACGACAGGCCCTCAACTCGGGCCGGTCATGCTCTTACTGATATAGTCTCGGTCTTATTCCTGTTCTCGCTGATATAGTCCCGGTCTTGGTCTTGGTCTTGCGTTATAAATGTTGGTATTGCTCTTTTAATCTGATACTTACCTTTTTTCTATTTCCCAACACAATAATTGTCTTAAATGCTGAAATTTTCTGACATACATGCGAGCTTGGGTAGATAGTTGTGAGAATTATGAAAACTCGAGAACTAACCTTTCCCCCAAAGCATAAGTTGATCCTTCCTCAAACGCATAAATTAACATTTTAGCGAACAAAATAGTACAAGGTACTTAAAATAAGCGAAAAATATAAAAAAAAAAAATAGTTTGCCTTTATATTTCAACCATGTGTTAGACATAGAAACAAAGAACACTTACTCCAAGGACATTCTTGTAGATCCTATATTGCGTATTTGATCTTGGTGTTACTTGTTCGATCTCGGTTTTACTTTTGGCCTTGTTGGTTCGATCTTGGTTTTAGGCTTAGTCTTGTTCGTTCGGTTATGATCTTCTTCTTATTAGTATAAAAACAGTCTCAGATTTGCACTGTTACAAGACCAACATTGAAGAGCATGACTAGTTTTGCTCATCACTAGGTCTAATATTTGATATCTTGGGTCAACCTTTGACCATATTTGACATCCTACATGGGATATATGTCTCTTTAATTTTCTTTATCTACTCTTTTAACAACTGCTATTTTAATACAAATGTGATACGTCATATGTGGTCATTTTAAACTAAATTATGTTTTTGGAAAAATTTTCACCATATTGTTCCTGCGAGGGGATCACTAGAGACGGTGTAGCCAATGTAATTTTTTTATAAAAGAGGAGAATAATCGATAATTATTTTATTAAAGTTTATAATACGAGTATTTATGTACAAACAAAGATTCAACAACAACATATCAATCTAATTATAGTCTAAAATTTATCACATGCCTTAATTAAAGGATAAACGGCTACTGACGGCCCTAAGGATCCTGCCATATTTGCTATGAAGTCCGGAAAATTACTTTCCAAAACCCACATCAGTTTTTTATAACCTGGTACTACTTGCGTTGGTAATCTACATTCATCACCCTTTTGAATTAAAAAGAAATTGTCCACTTTGAAACTTGTTTCAGTGTCCCACAAATAAATATCACTTTCACCCTTAAACCTAAAGAATATTGCAGCACCGTTGTCTGTCCCTAATGGCACTATCGGCGATCCTGTAGGTTTAAGTCCTTCATCCCTTATCACTCCCGTAGTCTTCCCTGCTTGCAAGTCTTCACTGTTAATGGAATACATTTTGGGATCGGATAAGTATGTGAAGAATATTTCATTTCCATTCCCTTCATTTTGAGATAAAACAATATAGAGAACATCCCTTTGTGGAACAAGATCGGTAATTGTGTTAGGGAGCATTATCCTGAATCCTTTATCGTTAAGAACATCATACACCACAATTGCGGCAGCTCCAGCATCACTTACATAAGCAAACGGGTTCGACGATTTGTCAAAATCCACGAGAATGTATTGGAGTTTACTCAAAGGTGTTAGAAACTTTGAAAGATCGATTACCTTTATTATTTGCCCGGTTTTCATATTAATTCCCACTATTTTGGGCGGACATCTTTTCACTGGTTGGTCCAGTGTATTAACGATTCCAGTATCCAATACCCAAAGATTCTCGAACGGGTCTAAATAAATGTCTACAACAGATTGGAAAGCGTCACAATTTCCTTCTTCTTGAAGTGACCAACAGGGAAATGGTTCTAATGTAGCGTGGCAACCTTTAGTTTTCAAAGAAAATTTTGCAAGACAAAACGGAACCCCCTCTCTGTATCGTGGAAGGGCTAGAATTGCCCAGTCCTTGTATATTTGCATTCGAATTGGAATCATGTTCTTTGGAACATATCTTCCCGATGTAATGTAAATGTTTTTTGTATTTTCACAGGAAAACTCTACATTTACACCTGATATCTTAAAACTCAGATCACTGATTAGATTCTTATCACAAATTGCATTACATCCAATGATGAAAACGATATGGAAAATAAAACTCTTCAAATACATTGTCGATTTCTACGGAAGAAGAATAACGAAATTGATAGCCTTCAAAATTTTAAAATTGATCTTGCTTACCTTATGAAAACTTTGTCATCACAACAAAACATCCTAATTTGTGCTCTAAACGTTCTGTACCAACCCGACGTTTTTATAAGGCAGGAGTGCTAACTGTTCGACATTGACCCACAGCATAAAAATGTATTCATTGAACGTGTCACATTTTAAAAACAATTGTCACACAACAGTCTTTTAAGTTCATTGAACACCGTGATTGTTCGCGCTGATATCGATCTACAGTATAACACCTTAGTGATAAGTATATTTCCACGTAACAACCAAGCACGTTATAGAAATGTGACAGTGAACTGCATTTCTTACAATATTATAGAAAAATGAATCGCTATTTGGAAGCAATGCACTCTTGACCTTAAAACAATAAATTATATAAACCCGCGAAAACAAATGCATGTAACATTTCGTTCTTGTTTCGATAAGTTGTTAATACAATCAAAATGTTCTTTAAATTTATATTAGGGCTACTTATTTGTTTAATTCGTGTAGATTCATTGTGTGAGAAAGAATTACTTAGAAGCATAGAATGGGTTGGTGGACCATTTGATTTCGAAACGTCTGCGATGAAGTCGTTGCTCACGTCATCGGATAAATACATCAACAAAAACATTATATCGTCCCGTGGTCAGATATTTGAAGATTCTGCTATTTTGGCATTTCCCAGATTTAAATGTGGCAACCCAGCAACCCTCGTTAAACTATCACTGAAATGGAAAGGTTGTACGCCGCTATTGGAACCGTTTCCGTGCTGGTCGTCTCAAGAAATCAACAATTGCAAAAGTTTACAGTCTGTGGTTGATGTTTTTATTGATCCCTTGGGCGTTTGTTGGGTGTTGGACGCAGGAATAATAAACACCTTGGAATCGTCTGTAAGGACATGTGCGCCCAAAGTTGTGGCATTCAATTTGAAAACGGGAAGGCAATTAAAATCCTTGGATCCTACTGGACTTGTTGAAAAAACTTCCCGACTTCAGTATTTAATTGTGGAATATACAGATGGTGGTGAACCTTATGTATTCGTTGTAGACGCTTCTACAGCTTCCATCCTTGTTTTTGATGTTATCCACGACAAATCTATGAGAGTAGTTCTTCCCAAAGAAGCAGCAACAGGTTGTAGCCAAAAAGACGTCCTCTATGCAGCTGTTGTTCAAAAGGAAGATGGATTTAACTATCTTCTTTTTACATACCTTTGTGGACTTAGAATGTTTGCTATTAGAACTGACATTTTGAGATCGGGATCTTTGTCAGGAAATGTGGTGGATCTTGGATTGAAACCTGGAAAGATCGTGATCCTCGGTACTGATTTTGGATCAGCCATCTTCTTTAGATATGAAGGAAAAGACGAAGTATTTCGGTGGGATTCAAATGATCACTTCAAGAAAAACAAATTTATTTCCGTTTACAAATCTAAACCTGGCTTTTTGGTGTCGCAAGTAATGCCTGATATTAAGAGGCAGAAAATGAGAGTACTGGAAAGTAACTTTCCAGACTTCTTGCAAGGTACAGTGGGATGTGGAGCAGTACAACAGATAAATATAATTGGAGAAACTAAAAGTTGATCTAACTGATACAACTAGGTAATGTTGAAATTCTTTTGAACCATCGCTAATCCAGATGAAGAATGACATAACTGCCAAATATATTTTGTCGTTAAAAATATTTTTAAGTTTATAGTTAACTATTTAGCTTTTTCGCTACAAAATGCCTAGTCAACTGTAGAATTATTGAATAGAAATATGTAGAAACTTAATTATTATCAATATGTATACTCTTATAATCAAACAGCCATCTTGTTAACTTGTTATCATTAATTAGAAAATAAAGGAAAATAGTTAAAAAATGGATAAGAAGGGCTACAAAATATTTTAAATAAGATTTAAAACAAATTGTGAAGAGATCACTGCAACCAATTTCTAAACATTACGGTTAAGGGGCGGGGGCTGATATTCTATTATAATAAAGTGGTAATACAATCCTGCATTAATTTGATATTACGTATTACTTATTACGTCATTTATCTATTATACAATATTTCTACTTAAACCTTATTCATTGGTAAGAAATTGGAACATTAAAGTGTCATTTCATGCCACCTTCATGTGATGAGAAAATACAAGAGGAATTAAGGGATATAATAAGGATTATGATGATCCTGCCGATGACTGGTCATAGTTTTTTTTTGAAGTTCATGGAAATTTAGTAAAGAAGTAAATTTCTTGACATATCGCCCGTATGTCTATCTGTCCGTACAGTAACAACGCAATGTGTAACATATACCATGATTCGCTAACTAAGAGTCTCACAATGAATTTGTTCTTCCAAATATTCTTTTCATAGATCCTTTTACAATCATTGTATTTAGTTAGACATGTATAAAAACCATGTGCTGTGCTTACATTTAAAACTGACCTCAATAAATTGATATAATCATCATTCAAAAGAATTACGAAAGCCACCTGAATACAAAAAAACGCTGAATCTTACTTATTTTAATTAGGATAGCTAATGGTATTCACTTGTTTTATTCGCTTCTTTACGATATGTTTAAAGATAAGTGTAAACAATGCGACCTAAAAAACACATCGGAATTATTGTCTCTATTGTAATTGTAATTGTTTTCCTAAATTATTGCAATTGCTGGGATCTCACCAGCCACGACATTAAAGATAATTATTACATTTCCAGTATCGCGGTTTTTAAAAATAGAGCATTTTTAACTCTGCCGCGTACTTCTTGTTTTAATAACATTTCGTATCCAACTATTATTGAAGTTCCGTGGATCGGAAGTCGGAGCGTTAAAGTTAAAAAATCAATTGCGTTTCCTCCCGGTATCGTTCAAGTTTGGGGTGTTTGTGATAAATTACAAGATGCTGTGGCTGTTGCTGTTCAAGAACCTGAAACCCGGTTGTGGGTTTTGGACGCAGGTTAGTTACAATTAGTAGTAAGGTAGCCTAATGACTAGACATCCTCCTTTGAGAAGATAGTCCTCAGTCCTCCTCTCGAAAGTAATGACCCAATTTGCCCTACCATGTAATAATTTGTCTTTATCAACACTGATGGCCAAAATTCAGTTTGAAAAGCGTTTTCTCTAAGACAATAGTCAAGCCTTAAGATGAGTTATAACGTTTTTTCTTATGTAGGGTAATCAGAATTGTAAAAGACCTCAGGAAAACACTTGTACCATTACCCGTCCGAATCAAAGAAAAATTAACTTTGGAAAATATACGAGTATGAACATTATTAATTATCATCATCAACATAAGATCGTCACTCTAAGACTGGTTGGACACGCATCTCCACTATCCTGAACTAATCTTCGCATTTCCCCAAAACTAGTACAATAATCTAACCCAGGTCTATCTCTACTCCTCTTAACTCCTGTTTCTGCCTCTAATATGCCTCTGACTAGACCTTCATGCCTGAGAAGATGTCCTATCAACCTATCTCGCCTATTTCTTATGGCTTCCATAGAATCCTCTGTTCTCATATTCTTTCTAATACCTCTTCATTCCTAACCTTCTCTATCCACGCTATCCTCATCATTCGCCTGTAACATTACATTTCGAACGATTCTAACCTTTTATTTTCCGCCGCGCTCACCGTTGATTGATAACCTGACCCTCCACCTTTCCCAGTACCTACTACTATACCACTCAATCCACCTAGCCGCACTTCAGACAGAGATAAATCTCCGAGTGGTACACGCAGCAGAGGTCGACCTCGGAAAAGGTAGTGTCAATTTAGATCCAGGATGAGGTCAAATCAACTCGACTGTATTGTTTTCGACCAAAATATTTTAGGAAAACCGTTACAAGTCACCCTATGTTAAACTTAACTATTGTCATTGCGAGAAAGGCTTCCCTAAGCGGAATCGTGTAGAGTAGGAAGGCCAAGGGGCGCCAAAATTAAGGGGCACCGAAGGGATTTCTAATATTGAAATATAATGTAAATCTATTGAATATAGTAGAGGAGGGGGTCGCCAGAATTGAGCTTTACACCCGACACCTATGGTTGTTGACAGTTTCTCCACACTCTAAGTGTGATTGATTGAAGAGATTTAACCATGATAAGTAACATAATAGGGCAAATTGGAATGTTGTCGTTCGAAGAACGACATAAAAACTCTCTATCACTGTGGATGACTGTCCTTCTCAATAGAGGACCTCTTGCTGACCTTAATTTAGTATACTTTGGAACTCTAAAACACACTGGTCAAAGTAAAATTCTTTAAGAGTCCATCATCTTTAAATAAAAATGGGAATTATTAAACATAGGTACAAATTTGAAACTAATAAGTAATTAACGTACAGGTACACGTTGAACTTGCGCTCTAAAGATTCCGTGTTGTTACATTATTTATCTTTAAGCTTTGCAAGCATAGCTGCTTTATATTTTCGTAAGAACTATTATTGTTTATGATGGCTGAAGAAAGAATAATTTAGGAATTATAATGTTCTGGTTTCAACCTGACGTTCGTTGTACATATCTTGTACCTATCCATTTTACTATTTTAGGGAATGCTCCTTTATAACCTTCTAGATGTTCCATTTATTACTAATTTCTATTTTGTTCTAGGATCTGCGATATGCAATCCTAAGGTTATAGTCTACGATCTCAATTTTGACGTCGAATTTCAAAAATTCCAATTAGTTGGGATACCGCATGGAACTCTTACTTCTCTGGTAATCGACGAGAATCATGAAGGGGGCTTAGTATTCGTGGGAAGTAAAAATGAAAACACTCTTGTTGTTTTATCCTTAGAAGAATCTTTGTGGTGGGAAGTCAGCTTGCGTACAGAACAAGGTGAAAATGTTTACACCGAAGCCCTTGCTATATCTCCAATCGAACCTGTTCTCTTTGCTACTAATTCAAGCAAAGAAAACTTGTACAAAATAAAATTGGAAAGTATTGTTGACAATTTTCGCAGGAAGGTATGTATTTTTAGTGTTGTGGATTGCGCTATCTCTAAATTAAAGCAAATGCAGATCTATAACTTAGGCTAGTTTAGGAAAACGATGTCGACTCGCAATCAGTAACATCTCCATAAAAAAAAAGGATTAGGCACTTTATTACTATCCTATTTAATACTTTTTGAAGTTCCGTCAATAGGGAACCGCTTGCACGTCTATCTCCTAATAATAGACCCTATTAACCCACAATTCTGTATTTTGTACTAAAATCACAGACGATTTAAAGGGAAGTGAAAGTAGATGCTCCAATTCTTTTAATTTAAAAGAACTTGAGGCATAATTTTTTTTATATAATTATAAGTAACATTTAATAAGATATTCTAAAAGATATGAGAAGATAAAACACTTTCTTCTTTTTCCGTCATTATTTCTGAGACTACTGAATCTAAAATTTTAAGGAAAATCGTAAAATCACTCCCATCTGTAGTTTGGACAAATTTCTAACCAAGAAAATGTTGTTATTAATTGGTTTACTTGTCTATTACTACCACGTGTATAAGCTACGTCGTCGATTTAGTTACACAAGTCGAAATAAATTGTCTAATGTTTGAAATACTTCAATAGCAAGAAATACTCACTAGATGGCGATACACTGACTGAATTTGGATATTACACACATAAGCTGTTCTCCATGGACTAGCCCTTTATGTAGGTTTCGGAGCTTCTTCATCGAGACTTGTCCACAGCCCATTGATGCGATCAAATAAAGTAAAAATCGCAATCCGCGTTTGGTAGTTTTGACAAATTTCTGATCATCAACTTAACGTTCCTATTAAGCATGTTTAAATGCAATCATCATTACACATTAAAAAAACCCTCACATTTAAGTCTGCTACTAAGGATATATTTTTAAAATTGTTCAGTCAGAACCTTGAACAGATAGTTTCATACAAAAATCTGTGTCAATACTCACAACCCAATGAGTGAGTGGGTCTTCAAGAAAAGTGAGTAAACAGTCACATGTTTCAGACTCTACTTTCTGTTATCCATATTGCTTGGCTACTATCCGTAATCTTAACAGGGGAGTTCATTACAACCGATATTTCTGCAGTTTGGCTGAATCTATTTTACAGTAAAGACAGCATCAGATATTATATTTAGTATCCAAATGAGGTGTTTTTATTTAACGCGTCCTTGTTTTCCACCTTCGTATACTTAAGATGTGCTCGCCTGTTCACCATAAAAGAGAAACTAATAAAATTTGCTCAACCCATTTCATTACGGTTTCTGTTTAACCTTAATTTTTTGTAAATGGCTTTTGGCAAAAGACATCTAGATCTACTAGGAATAGGAATTTTGTTTGGTACTAAAAATTGTATTTCTGTTTTGATTAGTCCAATGTCTAAATCTAAAGTCTGAAATTTAGTGATCTTATCTTCCTAAACTGATTGTGAAGTAATTTTAATGAGATGGAAATGGTGAGGAAAATTAAGTAAAACATTTTTCAGAATTTAACAAGAACAGCAGTAGCAGACTTTATTGGCAATAAAATGGGACCATCGGGAGGTATGCTAGTCGATCTTAAAGGTGGTTTAGTTTATTATCTTACAAGAGATTATGCAGTAGTGCGATGGGATGGTAGGTGAGTAGATTTGTTTACTGTTCCAACAACCAAATTGAGTATGGCACTACACATTACAATTTAGAAATACTTGCTTGAGGGGGGGAGGGGTATTTTTGGAGAATTTACCTATCTTCTGAACAAAAACGTTCATAAAATTGCTTGTTTGCTATTCATGTGTAGGGAATACTTGCATTCTAATAATGTTCCAAAGGTAGAATGAAGATTCGGTCTTCATTCTACTTTGGATTCCTGCCTTGAAAACCTTTTGTTGCATCTCACGCAATAAATATTGTATTATTTTATTATTCGTAGATATTTTTGTATAAATTTAAATTCTATAGCCGGCGTGAGAAAGGCATTTTGTTTATGATGTTTAAACTGCTATTCAATACAATATTATTTATTTGTGTCTGTTGTAAAATTTTGTATCTTTTGTCAGTCACGTTTCATAGTTATTGGTGTAGCTTCCAAATTTTATTTTCCGAAATATTTACAGAAGTACCTGGATAAGGGTAATAACATTGTTGCTAGCGGAACCGTTTTTGCACCCCCAAACAACGCTCGCTACGCTCAGTTAGGGAACTAGTTATAAGTGTATTTAAGGGTCGAAAGATAANAAGCATTCATCAACAAGCATTCATTATCATCATTCGCAACCAATAACTTTCACACATTAAAATTGAGATTCTCAGAGCTACCTAGATAATTATAATCGTTATATGTATAAATTAAGTGTTAAGTGTTAATAATTAAATATTTTACAAAACTATCGTCTTTTACAACTTTTTTGAACTGGTTACTCGCTATTAATTTGGCGTATAACGTGAGGATACCAGAAAGTATTCTTTCATCATATATTTATTTCCTCACAACACAAAACACCTTTGTTCTTATAATGTTCTAGTATTTTGTTTTGTTAAAAATAAAAATTTATAGATATCCATTCATTAATCACGTTATTTATCTTACTCTTAATTACGAAATGAATAGTTGCTAATTATTAATATCTATTGAAATTCCACATTTAAGGGTAGACACAATTGAACATTCCATCGATATAGTCTACTTGTGGATGAGTTTCTGTAAGCTAATGTCGATTAGAAATTCGGTACAGTACCTACTCTATGATGCAATATATTAACCTAACCGAACGTATCTCCTTAGTATCATCCGCAATCATTGTTTATTGTATATCTATCATCAGTTAGTATGGTAATTAGTCGGCCAGCTCTGTGATTCCACACCCACACATCAATGGCACTAACTGCTGCTGTTGTAATGTCTATATTGCCGTATGTTAGGTATCAATAACAACTTACATTTGCCATGGTAAATGGTGTAATAACACATTTTTGCTTAAAACTGTTGAACCGGTGGTTTCCTTCATGAGCTACTACTTTCACCAATGTATTCCTTAACTCAAAGATTTCCCAATAAGAGATCAATCGTTTTGGTGCGCGCTTTCCCAAATAAGTACTAAATTCCTACCTATTCTATTATAAAAACTTTTACAACAAAACCTGTTCATAACGGAGGCAATTCTTGACATCTGTAATATTGGACTCTTCCGTTCGAAAACGGCCACCGGGTGTATTTTTTGACCAAATCTAGGATTGGACGTCTCGTTATTATCAAAGTTTAAACTAAAACTTTTTACGGCCTTTGAAAGCGTGCAAATAGCTAATTACAGGATTGCGCATCTAGTAAATGATCAAAGCCTTCCTAGAATTGACCGAAAAATGGGAGTAATGGCCGTTTTCAGATTTTTTCGCCCATCATATACATAAGCAGTTTTGAATTTGTTTCAGTCAAAGTTTAAAGGCCGAAAGTCATGATATATTGGCGCAATCGTTTCGAGCTTTACCTTTTGTACCTTGCATCTTCAATGGACCACAGGATGGCATATGGGCGTTAGTTAATCCACATGCACCTTCAGAATGCCCTGTTAAAGGCGAACATCCTGTTAACTTTACAAATACAGAGGAATTTAAATTGAGAACAAGGGTTATTAAATTACTGAAATTTATAAAAAAGGAATGAGATTGGAACGAAGTAGGTAACCATTTAAATAAACTAATTAACTAACTGACTAGCTTAATTTATAAACTTAAATATCTGTATTAATGTTTCTTAATATGTAAATAAACCTACTATTAAACCGTTTCAAGTTACTTATTTTCTAGACGCAGTAGTTTTATCAGACAAATATTGGGATATAAATATAGTACAGCATTTGTATATCTAACTAATGTAAACTTTGAATAGGCATTTTTCATTGAAATTTTTGAAGTATTCATGATTTATCATTTTTTATGAAATAATAAACCCTTTGGTACATTAATAAACCTCAAGTTTCTGATAAAACGTTTATAAATTTCGACGCCAAAAGTGTAGAGACTAAGTTCATAAGTTTTTAGTAATCTATGGCCTTTCAAATGCATATTATCACTGGTAATATAATAACTAATAGTAAAAGCTAAAATTTTTTAAATCCATGTAGTCTTTAAATATAATAACTTTGTTACCGAAAAATACCTCGGACGTTCAGTGTCCGTTTAGAGGTTTAAGTTTTTTTTAAATGTTCTCTGGATAACGCAATGTGTGTTGTCTACATACTTTTAGCCAATAAGTTAATTACTCAACTTTCTATTCTATTTTAAAAGGCTTTAATTTCAAAATAATTAGTTTTTAACTGTTCAATGACGTCAATTTTTCGCTGCTTATTTAATTAATTACGAATAGTTTTTAATATAGGCTAAATGTATTCTGTGGTATAGATTGCAATAAAAATTCAGGTATAATGTGGGTTGCATACGCAAAAAGTGCTTTTTGAAAGTAATTCAAGTTCATTTTAGCTATTACATGTTAGATGGCGCAGAAGCAAAATGACAAATCGTCAATTTACGTGGTCAAATCCGAAGCTTGTAAGCATCAATTTCCATATTCGTCGAGAAAAAGTATGACAGATAACAACAGTATGAGGTTAATTTGGTGTTGTATTTAGTAACGATAAAATAGTTATGTTCGAAAAAGTGTGTTAAAAACCACAATTTATGGAACAGTGTCGTACAACGAATTTTTTTACGTGCAGATTACGATGTAATTATTATGTCCGGTAATGCAGTGGCCGTAGTAATGAAATCGAGTTCAGACGGTGAATTATTAGGGCCATCCGAAATGACACTAAATAATTCCAACAACGTGCAATCTGTAGAAACTTCAAGACTGAAGCGTACCTTTACATTGCCTAGGAACCCGTTCAACAGCACTAGAATGTCAAGAAGACGTATAAAGTCCGGCAATAATGAGACTGATAATAAAACTAACAACAATAATAATCACAACAATTCGAACGAAATGGACAAAAACAATAAAAAGATATTTCGAAGGCCTTCTTTTCGTAAACTCATTAATAAAATAGCTCAACATATCGGTGGTGTGCCTGTTATCAATTCCGGTGCTGATAACCGAGTGCCTCCCGTTGGTTATCAGACGTGGACTCCTGATCAAACGCCCGGAGTCACCGGTTTAAAAAACCACGGGAATACGTGTTTTATAAATGCTGTTTTGCAGTGTATTGCACATACCGACATTCTTGCAGAATATTTTGTCCTGGACTTGTACAAAGTCGATTTATCCCGAAGGAATAAATTAAACTCTAAGAAGTTCGGGACTAAAGGTGAAGTTACTGAACAGTTGGCGTTGATTCTGAAAGCCCTTTGGGCTTGTCAGTACACTCCGGAGCTCAGTACCAGCTTTAAGCAGGTCGTTGAACGTCATGGGTCTCAATACAAGGGATCCCAGCAGCATGATGCTCATGAATTCTTTCAGTGGTTACTGGACAAAGCCCACGAGGACCTCAAAATGGCTTCAAAAAAGAAATTCAAGACGATTAAGGTAGGCTACTTGCTGCTAAATTACTTTCCCAATTTTATTTAGTAAATGTGGTATGCACTTGTACAGTACTCTACAAAATTACTGAACGCTGTCTTTTGATCTAATTTACATCTAAAGGGGTGTACACAGGTAATAGGTATTACCTTTACCAGTGGTTGTTTGTTTACAATAACCTGTTGTTTCTACTAAGTCTAATTTTAGAGAAACACTTAGATACCTACCTGTTCTAGCTAGATACATTATCTAAGTGATATATTTTCATGTTGATTGGAGAAGAAAGCTACCCCAAAAAGAGATTATTGAAGGTTTTATGATTTTAAAATTTTAAATGAAAATTGTAATGGTTTGATTAACGCTCTTCTTAATGTCAAAACGTTTGATTCCGCGTTGGGCAGTTAACCCTACTGCATTTTTAAAGTCATTCCATATATTTTTTAAATGATCTACGTATAACAGAAGTATACTTCGTTTACTTTCTGTAGCGATGTGACCTTCAGTGTGACCGGCGCAAAGTAGAAAAGAACAGCACTAGGCCAGAAAAGAAAGGAGACAACTGTCTACCAAACTTTTAACCGGTTAGAAGCGTATAATCCGTACAGTACTGTACGGAAAAATTGACCATTTCATCCATTACTATTGCATTGCTCAAATGTGCTTTTATTGGTACCAATTACTAATGAAAATATCAACGAGATGTTTATTTACATTTGAAGACATTTTAAAGGCTTTAACGCTTATTTTCGACTCGCACTACTGTTCATGATTAAACAAAACTTTTGGCAGGTACTGTATAAAAAAGTATGTGTAATGAACAAAAGTCAAGAGTATAATGAGCTTTTTTCTGCCTACCTACGAATTTGCCAGCGCGCATTCGATACATTGGTAGGGGCACATCACTAGAGAAAGTAAATGAAGTATAGCACTGAAGCTCCAGTATTTTTTCGCAAATATAGTAATCAAAATATGTTCTTAATTATTATTGCTGACGAAATACTTAAACAATTTACTGGTATAGGTAGGTACGTTACTGTTTTTATGTCTAAGCCACGTAATGACATGTCGTAAAAACAGGTAGTAGGACCACAATAAAATTTGTACTTGTTGGAGTTGTAGATAAGAAAAAAGCATTAATACTGTGCTCGGTCTTACTATATAATAAGCTATACATATAAATACCAACAGAGCTTATCAGTACTTGTAACCGAACTATTGTTAATTCTTTTGGATTTACCTACCACAATTTATCGTATAATTTATTTGTAGCACACAATATGTATGCACCAGAAAACTGCCAAGATTACCTACAATATCTACAACATTTTCTTTTTCATTTAAGTAGGAAGTATACCTACCTTCTATCGAATTATTAAATTTTTTGATTTCTCATTCAATTTATGTTCAATTTTGTTGGCTGAATTAACGACTCTCGACTATCGATTTCGAGTTATTGTCTAGTTTTTGAAAATTTAAATGTTTTCAGAATAGATACTATTATAATCACAATATCGATATCTAAATTCCCTGAACTATACGTTATTTACTTTCTCTAGCGATGTGTCCCTTCCGATGTCTTGGATGCGCGCTGGCAAAATCGTAGGTTGGGAGTAAAAAGCTCATTATACTCTTGACTGTTGTTCATTAAACATACTTTTTTATACAGTACCTGCCAAAAATTTTGTTCAATCATGAATAGTAGTGCGAGTCGAAAACAAGCGTTAAAGCCTTTAATATGTCTTCAAATATAAATAAACATCTCGTTGATATTTTCAGTAGTAAATGGT